GAAGGCCATGACCCACATGCCCAGGAGAGGTTGGAGTAAAAGTCTATGTTTAATTTTCAGAATTACTTTCTTATATTCTCAGCAATATGAATATTTCTCTTCTGTGCCTAAGGTAGAGGGGCCCACGGGGCCAAGCACGAGCCCATGGGCCGCAGCTGGAAACTGTGCCATGTCACTTGTGGATGAACTGACAGATTATGACAGTGTTTTCCAGAGCGCGGTATGAGATCTGCTGTGTCAGAGTTGTGGGGTTTGGGGGTGCGGTTTATGAAAAGGCAGCTTTGTGAGCCCCAGCGCAGAGCTATTCTCTCAGTGCTCGTGCTGAAGCCCAGGAAGCCTCCTGGAACCAGTGCCCCAGGTGATTCATGTGTGTTCTTAAACCACTATTAGAAGCCCGTGCTCTAGGAGTAGGTAAACTCATCCACATCACAAAGCCACTAGGTCTTATCATCATTAACTCTGAATAATAGGCATAGATACATGAAGTTTTGACAGCATGAAATAGAATGGAGTGGCTTACACTGAAAACCAGAAAACAGATTCAAAAATGACTTTGGCTCACAAATTGAATGCAATAGACAGAAGCCAAATGACTTTGCTGAATGACCGGCCTGTTTAAACATCACAGGAAGGCTCATGATGAATCATAACACAAATGCTGCTGCTGGTGACTTTCATCCTAAACTTCCTCTAGTCCCAGCCAAAGTCCAGGAAAGGGGAGAGAGCTGCCTGAGGCTGGGAGATGCCATTTGCCCCCCGGCCCCAGCCCCCGGGGCCGCTGCGCAGGGCAGCTCTCAGTGCGCCCGCCCCACAGCCTTAGCTTTAGAAGAACAGGAGAGGCAAGAGCCAGAGAGAAAGAGAATGTGAGCATGGGAGGAGGTCACGGAAGGCAGAGCAAAGAGGCAAAGAAAGGCCTCCGAGAAGCTGTAACAGCAGAGGAAATCCCAGGGAGAAACCACAGGTGCTGAGGAAAATGAAGACACGGAAATAGAGGGAGAAGTGGGAGAAGCAACTGCAGAAGAGAAATGGAGGGGTTTAAGCACAAGCTGTAGCCAAGCAGAGCCAGCATCAATCCACCAGGAAAACAAGAAATCCCAAAGGTATATGAACGAACAAACGAAACTGTCAAACATGTGAAGCAAAACCTGATGGACCCGAAAGGAAAATAGACAAACCAATAAGACTGAGAACAAGGCCCAGGTATTCACTCTTACCACTTTTATTCAACATAGAGCTGGAAGTTCTTGCCCGTGCAATGAGAAAACGTAAGGAAAAAGCCATACCTATTGGAAAGAGAGAAATAAAGTGTTCCTAAGTGTGGCTGACCTTGCTGCCTACACAGAAAATCCCAAGAAATCTACAGAAACAAAACAAAACAAAACAAAGCAAAACAAGAAAGCCCTCTTAGAATGAATAATAGCTTAGCAGGATTGCAAGATCCAAGATAAACATACAAAAACCAATTATGTATCTATATACTGGCAATAAACAGAGGACACCAAAATTTAAAATCCAATACTATTTACAACCACTCAAAATTTTAAATACTGAGGTATAAAACTAACGAAATATGCCGAAGACTTATCTGCTAAAAACCACACAATGCTGATGAAGGAAACCAAAGGAGACCTAAATAAGCAGAGAGGCAGATTGTGTTTGTGAATTGGATGACTTAACATAATACATATGTCAATTCTCTTGAAGAAAACAGACAGATTTAAAGACTTGATGCAATTTCAATCAAAATTCTAGTGAGATATTTTTGTAAATGCAGGCGAGATTATTCTAAAATTGATATAGAAATGCAAAGGGACTATACTAGCTAAAGCAATGTTGAAAAAGAATAAAGTGGGAAGAGGTAGTCAACCCACTTTCCAGACTTATTGTATAGCTACTGTAGTCAAGACTATGTTATTGGCAGAGGGACAGAATAGAGAAAGCATTATTGACCCACGTAAGTATGTCAACTGATCTTTGACAAAGGTGCAGAAGCAATTCAATGGAGGAGAGGTGGCTTTTTCAACAAATGGTGCTGAAATAGTTGGGCACCCACTGGCAAAACAAAACAAGACAAAAAATAAAAATGAACCAAAAAAACACCTTCAATATAAATCTCACAGCTTACACAAAATTTAACTCAATATGAATCATGGATATTTAATTGTAAGATGAAAAACTATAAAAGTTCTTTAAAATTGGGAGATTTCAGGATCCAGGGCTAGGCAAAGAGTTCTTACACGTAACACCAAAAGCACAATTCACAAATGGAAAAAGGTAGTAAGGTGGACTTGATCAGAATTGAACACTTGTGATGAAAAGATAAGCTACAGAGAGAAAATATTTGTAAACTACACATTTGACAAAGGACTAATATTAACAAACTCTCAAAACTCAACAATCTTAAAACAATCCATTTAGAAAATTGGCAAAAGACATGAACAGACATTTCATAAAAAGAACATATACATAACAAATAAGTATATAAAAATGTTCAACATCAGACATTAGGCAAATGCAAATTAAAACCATTATTAGATATCACTATACATCTGTTAGAATGGCTAAAATTAAAATATAGAGACAACACCAGATGCTAGCAAGGATGCAAAGAACTGGACCACTTGTCATTGGTGGGGATGTAAAGGGGTGCGCCCACTCTGGAAAACCATTTGATGACGTGTAATTACCATATAAGCAATTGCACTCCTAGGCATTTGTCCTTGAAAAATTAAGGTTAACCTTCACACAAAAACTTGTACAGAAATTTTTATAGCAGCTTCATTCGTAATAGCCCCAAACTTGAAACAACCCAGATATCTTTCAATGGGTGAATGGTTGAAGAAACGGTGGTACCTCCATTCCATGGAAATGCCACTCAGCAATAAAAAGAAATGACCTATTGATATGCACAAGGATCTGGGTGAATCGCCAGAGAACTATGATGAGCGGCAAAAGCCCAATCCTCAAAGATTACATACTATATGAGTCAACCCATAGAACATTCTTGAAATGAAAAAAATTACAATGGAGAAGAGAATAGTATTTGCCAAGGGTTGGAGGAGATGAGGCAAATGGATATGACTATAAAAGGACAACATGAGGAACCCTTGTGGTTATGAAAATATTCTGTATCTTGACTACACTGATGCCAATATCCAGTGTGTAATGTTGTAGTACAGTTTTGCAAGATGTTACTATTTGGGGGAAACTGGGTAAAGTGTACATGAGATCTGACTGTGTTATTTATTTTTATATGTACATAAGGTTATTATAGATTTTATCGATATAAAAGATGTGTAGCACATAATTTACAAATAACAATAAAATATACACTACTTTATTATGAATCCTAGTATAACCAGTTGATTCTCACAGAAACTTTCTCTTGATTTTTACTAAATTCTTGTACTGGTGGCCAACCTGTGGTTTCAATTCAACCAAGAATTGACAAAAGCTATCACATCTCTTTTATTCTAAAGGATTAGAAGAAAATAAAAATCAAAATAAAAGCAAAAATCTAAAACAACATTTCAGCAGAAAAGAGCAATAGCTGTTGAAGTCTTTATCCTCACTCTCCTTCCCTCATTCCTAGGCCCAGAAGTAGTTCCTGTCAAAAATTTCCTTCCAGGCATTTTTTTTTCCTTATTTTTTCTTTTTATTACATTTTACTTTTTAAAATTTTATTTTTCCATTACAGTTTACATTTAACATTATTTTGTATGGGTTTCAGGTGTACGGCATAGTGGTTAGACAGTCATACGCTTTACAAAGTGGTCCCCCGATATTTCCAGCGCCCATCTGCTACCATAGTTGTTACGAAATTATCGTCTATGGCCAATAGACCTGAAAGCCCCTGATCTCTCTGTATCATTTCTTAAAACTGCATGTTCATCTACAGTCATCTTTTTTTCAAGTTTAACTGGAGAAAAGTAATATTAATGTTTCATGACGTCTCTGGTAGTGTCTTCATTCTATCTCCTTTTCAAGCCCCTATTCAGCCAGATGGCAGGAACTAGATCTCAGTCCTGGGAGGGTCTCCCTACTTCCTTGTATCTAAGTTTCAGGAGCTTACCCAAGCCTGTGTTCGGTATCATCTGTGTTGGTGGCCACTCAGAACAGTTTTGGGCCATCTGCCCACCTAGATCTCTGCTTCATCCTCTTCACCTCCAGGTTCTGCCAGCTCTTGCTCTCCATGGACTACAGGGAAACCTCAGAGCCTGTCTCAGGTCTATTTGCCAGGTACACCCAATGGACATTCCTACTCCCCAAGTGGGGAGATTCGAGAACTATGCTTGGATATCAAGGACACAGGTCTCCTTTATTCTAAGGTCCTTCAGCCCGTCTGGTGTGCTCTTGTGTCCTCACCCCTCCCCAGGTTCACTTGGTGGCTGGGGAAGGACTTGGGTTCCCTAGTCAGGTATCTGTGGGAATCCAAGTACTCTGCTTCCTTTCTTTAAAAAACAAAAACAAAAAACAAAAAAACAAACAAAAAAACAAACTTAAAAAAAATTATTTGAGAGAGAGAGGAAGGGAGGGAAAAGAGAGTGAGAGAAACATCAATGCCACTCATTCCCCAACTTTTGGGGATCAAATCCGCAACCCAGTCATGTGTCCTGACTGGGAATCAAACCAGCAACCCTTCAGTTTGCAGGACAACGCTCAACCAGCCAAGCCACACCGGTCAGGGCTCTGCCTCCTTTCTGATTCCTTGTCTCCCAATGCAAATTTTACCTACCCTGCAGGCAGAGAAGGGTATGTGGGAGTGGATGTACCCTTCCAAACCTTGTATCTTAGGTCTGCTTTCTCTCCTCAGTTCAGCGCTCTGCTGAATCATCCTTCTCCTGAGGGGGCAAGCACAGAAGCCCTTCACTGCTGCTTCCATTGCTCACAGGAACTGAAAATGGAGGAAAACCCTCCTGGGAACCTCAAAGTATGATCCTGTGATGTAGTCCACCTCTCTTGGCCTCAGGCTCACTTACTCTCCCTGTCTTTCCTTTCAGCTCGTGGCCCAAATCCTGGAACATAAAGACATAGGCTTTGTGATGGTCGATTCCAAGAAAGAAGCCAAGTTGGCCAAGAAACTGGGTAAGAATGGTTTTCTTTGGATCTATCAGGAAGAAACAAAGTGTCTTGCAAAAAAAGTATTGTTTCATTTATTCTTGCATGATAACTGGGCTTCACATTTCTTTTCATTATGATGATCTTGTATACCCGAGTCTTGAGTTATAAAAGACTTTTGTAAAAGTAAATACTGGCCTGAATTGAATGGTTTTGCATTAATCATCTAATATATTTTTGTATCAGGTGCAACAAAGAGGGTTTCTTCCTGGGGAAACTGGCTTTCAAGATTTAAACCTTTATTTTTAGATCCTAGAGTTAAAAGGCCAGCTTCTCTCTCTCTCTCTCTGAGGGAGAGCAAATCTCTCCTTTTACCACCTCATATTTCCTTACCTCTTGGTTTCTAAATTAAAGGCTGAACTGCAGCTGGGCATTCTCACCAAGGATAAGAGGGAGGATTTGGATGAGGTACGCTTCAATGACTGCCCAGGGCGAGTTGTAATCTCTTGTGTCAATATGTCATGCTTAAGTGCAGTATACTTTAAGATTCTTACACCTCTAATCCCAGCAAGAGAGAAAGCAGGTAACTTTTCTGGTTTTCAAACATGCCACACATAGACTGCCCATTTCTCTTTTTCTGCATGACCAGCGAACAGTGGCCATAGCAGGAGGCTGTAAACACACCATTGAAAAAAGGTTAATTGGATTTGGAATAGTAAGCACAGAGGAGGGCGGGGGAAGATTAGTGGTGGTTCAATAAATATCTTCAGGTACATGAAAAGTTCATTATCTCTGAGAATTACAAACAACTGTTTTCTATTTTATTTTCAAGAAAACCAGCCTTGTGGGTTTGTTTGTTTGTTTGTTTGTTTGTTTAAGATTTAAATTGCAGGAGACAGTGTTTAGGTTGGATACAGAGAAGAACTCATGACTGAAAAGGGATAATGGATTATTAAGAATGGCTGGAGTATCTCTTTTTCTAGAGACAAATTAAGGAATATTTTTTCCCCTCGAGCAGGAGCACGAACTCTTTGCTTAGTCAAAAGCTATTTAATGAATTCTTTCTCCTCCCCAGCACCTGTTGATTCCCAAGTCTTCTCTCTTCCCATTGTTTTAATGAGAAGTTGGATTTCTAGTAATTTTATTTGGAGGAAAACACTAACGTTCCAGTGATCTAAAAATTTAGGGAAGCCCTGGCTGGTGTGGCTCAGTGGGTTGGGTATCATTCCGCAAACTGAACCTGCAACCGATTCCATTCCCGGTTGGGTCACAAGTCTGGGTTGCAGGTTCAGTTCCTGGTCAGTGCGTGTGAGGGAGGCAACAGGTCAATGTTTTTCTCTCACACTGATGTTTCTCTCCCTCTCTTTTTTCCCACCTTTCCCCTCTCTATAAAGATAAAATAAATGAATGAATAAATGAATGAATGAATAAAAATTTAGGGAAGACAAACTGGGCAAGCATTTGTAAGATTGTCCCAGTGAATATTCCTCCAGTGGAGGATGTGAAAAGTCTAAAGAAACCTTTCTCCAAGCTCAGCCTGGAGGCGTTATTGGAGGAGGTTTGTTCTCAACTCCTTGGTCTCCAGAGTTTCTGGGACAGAGGTGTTTTGCAAACCTGCTCCAGCCTCTCTTCCACTTGCCTAAAGCTAGGGCAATAGCTTCCTAACTGGTTTCACTCTGAGCAAAACCCCACAGCATGACACTGGCTGATATTCCCTGTGGTACCCTTGTGATCAATCATTGCCAGGTTCAAAGACACGTTGCTCATTTAGATTTAGGAATGGTGCTCCATGGTGTGCCTGGGGGTTTCAGATGTGCCCTGGGACACAGCGGGCAGTGGGTTACCAGCCTCTCTTTCTCTAGAGGTCAGCAAAAGAGTTCATTTGGAGAAAGAATTCTCCAGCTCACAGAGAGTTTGGAAACAACTAATCTAAGGAATTAAGGAGGCCTGAACTTGGACTAAATGCCAGCCTCAGCTATTTAGCCTTTCTGGAGGGAAATGGAGTCTTCCAGCAAGTATTTGTCCAAGTGCACGGCCTTATGCCAAGAGCAATGGAGGGTAGAAGGAAGATGCATACCCTGCCCTGCAGCCTTCTCAGTTAACTGGGAAGAGAGGAGGTGCAGAATTCAGCTACTCTAGAAAAGCAAGCTGTTCATTCTGGACACTAGCATTTATGGGGTGTCCAATGTGCCCAGGCTCTGTGTGACACCCTGACCTACCATGACAACAACAGCCCTACCCGTAGAGGGCTTCCTGCTCTCGTGAGTACAGGTACATGGGGCTTGGAGAAGATCAATCATGGCAGGAGACGGCGGAGTGGCCTTCCTGGAAAACCCGAGTCCTAAGCTGAGACCTGAAGTTGCTGCCCAAGATGGCAGAGGGAGGTGGGGGTCACCCGGACTTGAGGAACAAGGAGAAGCAGGGGTGTCCGACCTGCAGCCCTCAGGCCACATGTGGCCCAAAATGGTTAAGAATGGGGCCCGACACAAAACTGTAAATTTACTTAAAACCATTCTTTTGCTCATTGGTTTTCAATAGTGTTTGTGTATTTAATGTGTGGCCCAAGACGACTCTTCTTCTTCCAGGGTGGCCCAGAGATGCCAAAAGGTTGGATGTCCCGAGAGAGAATCACGCTCGGTGTCTTTTCACATACGTACCCTTTCATATCAGCTTGTGGGCAAGAAGCAAAGGGAGTCACAGGGGTTAAGAGAGCAGCGCCCAGAGGAGCACAGGCCTTCCCTGGGAGAAGGCAAAGGGCTGGGCGGCATGAGACTGTGGGGAGACTCGAACGGAGCCGAGGAGCCAGGTGGGGGAGGGCATTAAGACTTTCTGATAAGGGGAATGAGGTCACAGGATTTTTGGAAAATTAAAGCAGTGGTGGGGTGGAGAATGGATTTTCCCATTAAGTTACAAATCCAGGTGGAATTGTTGGTTCTTGACTATTCTGATTTAAAGCTCCACTTTGGGAGCATGTCAGAGGGAGCCGGTCCAAGGACTAATGCTGGTTCCACTCACCCTGACCCCAGCTGAGATGACAGCTTTTCCTACATCAGGATGATCGTGTCCTGGGAACTCTTGCTTTCTTCCAGGTTTTACTGAAGAAGGAAGCCTCTACATTCTGAAGGGCGATCGTACAATTGAGTTTGATGGCGAGTTTGCAGCTGATGTCCTGGTGGAGTTTCTCTTAGACGTAAGCATTTGTGCGCAGTAGCCCCGAGTTTTTTGGGTTCAAATATAGGGAGAAGTCAAACCTTCAAATAAGAACAGAGAAGCTGGGTAACCCCTCTTGGTCCAAGACAGGTTTCTCAGGCTTCACAGAAAATTAAGGAGTGCCTACATTACAGTGCTATTTACTTCTTCTGGAAAATTGGCCTTTAAGTCACCTTAGAAACTGTCTTATTCATGGTCAGTCAGAACTGTGTAGTAGTGACATGTTATTTCTCTTAGCAGTTATACACCAACATCCCCTGAAATCCTCTTGGCTTTGCTCTAGTGCTTCTGAACTGGAGATGGGGCGTCCAAGGAAGAGGTGGATAGTCACCTCAGGATCTGTACGGGGAGGAGCAACAGGCAGCTCAGTTACCCTGACTTACCCTCAGAGAAGACTGAAAAAGGGCGGGACTAATAAACTCCAATATCACCCTTTCTGTCAGCCATGGGGGTACACATACTCAGGCAAATAGAGAAACAAACACTACAAAAGTATTTTATCCATAGATAAACTCATACTTCCAATAACAGCAGTGAGGCCAAGTTCAGGCTACTTTGAACCAGAGTCCTATACAGAAAAAGAACATCCATCTTTACTGATGGTTCTTCATCTACCAGCCTGTCCACAGTTGTCTCTCACCTTTTCTCCACGGCTTCAAAAACCCAGGGAAAAAGTCAAAGTGAATGGAAGTTTACCTCCTACAAAAAAGTGCCCATAGATTGTCCTTGGCCCTTTCGTTGACCCAGAACTGCAAGCCCTAAAAAAGTTGAGGGCAGCAACTGAACAACTCTGGGCTGACATGGCACTGCCCCTGCTCTACCGGCAAGGCCAAGGCTCTCAGAAGTTCATGACAGAAACCAGACTCTAGCCACCTTAAACAACAAGCAACGTGATTGACCCTCACAAATAGATGTCCAGAGCAAGGGCATGTAGACTTGATTGAATTAGGACTCTAGTTGCATTTTTCTCTGTAAGTGACAGATAATGCTCTTGTCAGTGTGTTTGCTTTGTCCTGTGAAAGCTGACTGTTCCCAAGTTGGTTCTAAGATGGCCAGCGGCAGGAGCTGATACATCACATTTCCTCATTAATATTTAATGAGGAGGAGGGGGAAAATCTTGCTTTATGTTGTTGCCTTAAAGAGAAAGCAGAACTTTCTTAGAGCTTTCAGCGAATCTTCCTTAGAGATTCATTGACCAGAATCAGGTTTCATGCCATTCCTGAATCAATAAATGCCAAGAGAAATAGAATTGCCCCAGAACAACCAGCCTACCCCTTGAGTTAAGGTCAATTTCTTAAAAGGTGCCGCTCCTGAATTCACTGGGAGAGAGGGGTATGGATGCTGAGGCCAAAGTCCACAACTTCCCTCCAAAGCCCTCTGCCTATAAGCCTGATTCCTGGGGAAGGAACTGATTGTGTGTGTGTGTGTGTGTGTGTGTGTGTGTGTGTGTGTGTGTGTGTGTGGCATTTCAGCTCATTGAAGATCCAGTGGAGGTCATCAGCAACAAACTGGAAGTCCAAGCCTTTGAACGCATTGAGGACCAGATCAAACTCATTGGCTTTTTCAAGAGCGAGGACTCAGAATGTAAGTTGTCTATCAACCCCACCAGGCTAACGGCTAGGTTCCCCACAAGGTATGTCAGGTTATCCATAAAGAAGAGGGGCCATCGGCGAGTCCTGTGCTGGGTAGAAGAGAGGGAGAACCTTCCTGTGCAATGGGACACCTGAATCAATCACGCAGAACAGCCAGGGGAGCTGAAGGGACACTGAGGCTGGGCCATGTTCTCTGGCCTTGGAGGCTGGTGAGCATTTTACAGAAGAGAGAAAAGCCCTCCCTCCACTTTTCCACCTGTCCACACACCAGTTGGACTCTCCCCTAAAATGGGGCAAATAGTGAGCTGTCTCCCTGACATTGCAGCTCCCGTGGTCACCAGTTGGAGAGTTTCTCAGTCACTTGGACAGCATTAGAGGAACATTGAGGTAGGGCTGGGCTTAGCAGCTACAGCACAATGTGGAAAATTGCTGGCCAGCCCAGCTGACCACCAAGGCCGCCTGCGATCGCACACCACGCCCTTCGGTATATTCCCTTTGAAAGCTTTGTGGCCAGGTTTTGGGTGGGCACAGGAACATATCATAGCATCAGCACAACCCATGCGGGGGGAGAGGGTGGTGAGCAGGGGTCAGGAAGAAGCCAGCAAGACGAAACTACCGAGTACCTTTTCTCAAGCTGCTTTGGCAGCACGATCCCACCGAGGAAAGCCTTTTTCTGGGGTCTCAGCATAACTAGGAAAGAGAATCCAGTAACATCCGTACGCAAGGGAAATGCAGACAAGGGCTGCTGCGGGCTATTTCTGGAAACTCCAAAATATTTTGAAATTACTTGTAAAGCTGTGTCTCTACCCCGTCTGCCAGCTGGCCTCCTTAGTCATCTCAGCAACTCACCAATTTTCTCTCCCTCTGACCCGGTGGGATGGTCTCCTCGTTTGCTACACAAAAGCCTCTGTGCACCCTGCTTAAGGGAGTGCTGGGGGAAGGTGGCTGGCCAGGGAGTTTGCCCCAGTTCTTTAGGTGCCTTTATTTCAGTTTTCATGTGTCTGCATAGATGCCGACCACTCTCTGGGGTGCTCCTTCTGAGGTCAGAGTAGAAAACTAGACCAGGTTCCTTGAAAACAGCTACTGTTGGCAAGAGGCAAAGGGTTCAGCCCCAGCTTGAAGCACCACCCTGGGATTATCTTGCCCCACACTTTTCCATCTTAATAGGGATGTAGACTGGCTCCCTGAGAGAAGAAGGGAGTTCCTCTGACACAGGCCTCGGCCATGCTTCCCATCAGGGTAGGAGTTCGGGAGGTGGAGAGAGGTTCATCAGTGGCAAGGGGGCCGGGGAGGGGGGAAGAGAGGATTCTGGTGGAGCTCACTGCTGCTCTAAACAGACATACGTGGCTTAGCTGTGGCTCCAACTCCTTCTCTTTCTATACTCTCCCCCTTCCCTCTATTCATTCTCCAAATCTCCCACGCACCTCTTCCTTTCCACTCAGTCCTCTACCCCAACTGTCAGCCTATGCGCCATATTTTGTGACAACCTTACCCCTTTCATGAGGACAAGCGTGTGTGAATATGGATCAGTATGCACAGGTTTCTGGCACATTTTTCAGCCCCTCTCTCAGCTCTGCTCATCGTGCTTGTCCCTGTTCTGGCAGCTGTCACACTGCACTGTGATTCTTTAAGGGTCCGTAACCCTCCCTTGGGCTGTGAGCCTTTGATTGCTGTCCTCATTTTACTCATCTTGGTGTCCCCCTGAGCCAGTGTTTTTCTTGAAATGTTGTTGATTGAATATTAGAAAATTCTGCACGCTCCTGGAATTCTAGCAAAAACGTATGCCTCTGATAATGAAAGGACATAGAATTCCACGAAATGGAGAAAGTTGATCTTGTCAAGAATGAATCATAGGATCGTTGACTCTCAGGATTATGGAATTTTTGTAGAACCACCACCAGTACCACCACCAGCACCATTCTCATCACCCTCACATCTAAGGCTTGAAACAAATGTCTCCATTCACGGCCACAGCCGCGTGGCCTCATGCCTCTCTTCACCAGTTCGGACTCAAGTTGGGGACCGGAGTCAAGCATGATCTTCATTAATTGTGAAGGATCAGAATAAAACAAGAAAACTTAAAAAGAGGGAGAGAAAAACTAGGATTTACCATAAAGAGCACTCCTGCTAAGAAGTTTAAAATACTTCTGTGATGCCATTTTTGACTGAGTTGCTTGACAGGGCGAGGTGCGTTTCTCCCCGCACCGCACCATTCACACAGTAGGGCGCGCTCTCTCGGGAGGGCATAGCTGGAGGGCACAGCTGGAGAAAAGTTCTGAGCAAAAGAACTATTCCTTTTGGTCTGGAGCTTCTCAATTCCTTTTTTTGCCCTTGTTCTCTCTAGGTTTTCTCCTTTCCATCTACCAATTTCATAAAACACATATAAGTGTGGCAAAGAGTTCTTTCGGGAAACTGAACGCCAGTCAGTTCAAAGTCCTCAGGGAAACTGTGGATGTAACTAGTACTGAAGAATTATCTATCTGAATAATATCTACTTAATAATTATCCAATCAGGATTAATTGGCTTCCCACTCTCTCTGTTTTATTTAAAAAGAGAAATGCCTGCTGTGTGCATCTGGAAAATGTCTCTCCCTTCTTTCTTTTCCCTCATAGATTACAAGGCTTTTGAAGAGGCAGCTGAACATTTTCAGCCTTACATCAAATTTTTCGCAACCTTTGACAAAGGGGTAAGTACCTATGAAAGCCCAAAGCGAGCACTTTCATAGGCACGATGTATTCAAGGTTGAACTTTCTGCCACCTTTTCTTCTCTTTTAGCAACGTTAACCACCCTCCACCCATTCACGCTTTTTCCAGAAGTGTCAGAACTATGGCAGTAAATCACTGCTGAATGAGAGATGCATATGAAGGTGTTTAATTCAGAAGATGCAGGGGTATCTCTGAAAACATCTAATGAAAAGTGATGCACCAAACACTCAGGATCACCTTCCGCACGAAGAATGGAGAGCGTGTGGGCCCAGAGGGCATGGGACACTAATTACCACCTCCTTTTTTCAGAGCCAGCCCCTCCCTCCCTGGGCTGCACACTTACCCCCTTCTGGGTTAGGATGGGGGATGGGTGGGGAGGAGCACGGGCCTCTGAAGCCCTGGGTGCTTCATCTTGGGGAGGTGCCACTGATGTGCTTGCCTGTGATTCAACCGCTCTTTATTTTCTGGATGTGGAAGGTGACTTTATAAGCCCAAGAACAGCAGAGAGAGAGGGACCTGGAATCAATGGGTAATTTATTTGGGTTCTGCTGTGTTTGGAGTGCTTTATCCTGGCTCCAGGTACTACTAAAATGGCTACTATTTACCCAGTGCCTTCTGTGTGAGGGGTACAATTCGATATATTGCAGTAATGCAATCTCTAATCCTTTCAGCCACTTCAAAAGTGAGAAGCCCCACACGCACACTTCCCTCATGAGAAAAAAGAAATTTAGAAGGGTTAAGTAACATCCGAGGTCCCCAGTGAATCAGCGGCAGTGCTGCCATCCCAGTTGAGGACAGTCTATGCCCTCAGTCCATGCTCTTCCCTCTGCACCGCACCGTTCCGTAGGGACCCTGTACCTACCCTTGAGATGCAGGGTGCATACTCACACACTCACACCCACGTAACACACACAACACACACAACATATGTGCGTGACATACTTAAAACACACCCCACATATATGTACTACACACATGCATACACAGACAACATACACAACACACAACACACAAACCTGACACTTCTCCTCACACACACCCACACACACACACCCCCAACACATACACACTCAGAATATTTGAAGTATTCTGTGAAAAACGAGGAAGCCTGGAGATGCTGAAGCAGGAAAAGGAACGATGAAAAGAGATTGCAGTCAGTTCATACATATATTGAGCCATTTCCATGGCTATGGCCCCAGTTTACCAGCCTATAATCCAGAAGAGAGGGCCATAATCTAAATTATATCATCTAAACTTGGAGAAAGTTTTACCCTAATTGGTTGCATTAGAGCTGGGAGAGATCTTGAGCAAGCACACCAAACAGAATAATAATTATCACTCATTAAGCATTTTTTACGTGTATGTGCCAGGCTTTGTGCTAATAGGTTTATAAAGGTTTTCCCATTTCATCTCCTCAATGCCCCTGTAAGGGAGGGGTTGGCATTTACAGTCTGCAGAGGATGAAACGGGGGCACTAAGATCGTGATTTGCTCGTGGTCACGTAGCTGGCGAGCAGTGAAGCCTGATGTAATCTCGGGCCAGCCTGCCTTCAAAGTCAACGCTGCGCGCCGCTCTGCTCCGGAGGAAGACACAACGCGTGTAAAGCGCATCGGGTGCACAGCCAGCCTCCGGCGACTGCGAGCGCGCTGAGAGAACTGCTGTTAACAAGGGCAGTCCTCCAGGCCCGGAGGATGGAGCTTGGGAGAGGGTATTAGGAGAGAACGGGAGGGACAGAGAAGCTGAAACTGAGTCCATCTCTGACGCTTTGTTCCGATTGGTCAGGAGTGACCACGATCGCTGCTGGGTAGCAGCAACTCATCCCAGGAAAGAGAGTCAGGCAGATGAGCTTGGCCAAGCAACAGAGCCTCAGTTCTTAGGAGGGTGGTTCAATGCCAAGTTCAGGGTGGGGTCAGCTCTCAGATGTGCCTCCCAGCCCAGCCGTATGGCTTCGTGTCTGTGGCCCATGAAGAAGGTGAGGTCAGGCTATAATTAAAAACTCGGAAGGCTCTTCACTAAAAGCTCTATAAGACACTGAGTCATAAGTTTCACCATGCACAGAGCCTTGTGGGACTTCATAACATTCAAAAAGAGAAAGATAAATGGTCTCTCCCTCTGTGCAGAACACGGAAGGCAGAGTTGTGGCACTGAGAGGACTCTTCCCCGTTGGGACTTAAAGACTTGCGCCCTTCAGTTAGGGGTGTGGGTGACCGTGCCCTGAGGAGAGGTGGGATCCAGGGGGCACGGTTGCACATATCACGTTGCTCAGGAAGGCACACAATTTAACCTCATGAATTGCTTATTTCTGGCATTTTCCTTTTAATATTTTCAGACTGGGGTTGACTGTGGGTAACTGAAACTGCAGATAAGCGGGGGCTGCCCTATGTGAGTTGGAGAAACGTGAGGAGAGCGAGGTGTCAGGGCTGCTGAGGTAGATTTGGGAAATAGCTGTTTCCGATCCCTAACCACAGGGGCATCCCCCAGGGAGATTTTAACGCTATGGATTCCTGCTAAGGACAGTGTCCACGCTAGTGCATCTTACAGCCTGAAATACATCAGCTCTGAATTATCCCCATGTGAACTTCCACCAACCTGTTCCTTTCATGGTATAAACAGTGAGAAGCAAAGTCATTTTTTTAAAATCATATCAGGGCAAAAAGAAGCAGCAATTATCTAGATGGAGAGGATAGATATTGAAAAGGCCTAAATTCACTCACTTGGTTTCATTTGCAACAACCGAAATGGCTTGCTAATATGTAGAAAAACATCCGTGTCAAAAAAATTCATACACTTGCAAACGTCAAAAACTGGCCATTGTGCTTTGTAGTTTTCTTGCCTTCGGCAACATCTATTCCAACCAGCTTTTAAAAAGGCACAAAAGAACTCATTACATGGACCTCCTAGGCTTTCAGTAGTAAAATCCATTCTTATAACATTGTTCCTGCCCATGAACCAGGTCTGGTCCCAGAACAGTGCCTTAGATGCCGTCAGCCCCATTAAATATTGATTTAACAAATGAATGAATCAATGCCTCAATCAATCAAGTCTCCTTCAGTCCTTACCACCCAATATACAAATAAAATAATGAAAAAAGGGGTTCTCTGAGATACAAGATGAGGGCATTCCATGGTGGTGGTGGGGACAGACTGCGCAGGGCTCTGGGACATTTTGTCCAGCAATCCTCAGAATTAGACTAGAGAACATGACAGCACCACCTTACGTTCGTGGTCTTTACACTGCATTCAGGAAGCCCACATTCTAGCAGGCTGTGCTGGGGGAGAGGTGATGAGAGGAACAGGAGACATCTCACTGACCATGTGCAGCACCAGTGGAATAGCTGTAGGGACAGACATCATTCACTACAGTGTGAAGGAGAAAGTGATTTTCTAATGAAAGGAAAGTTGGTGTACTGGCAAATTGGGTTTGAACTCTGGCTCTATCCCCTGTGGGTAGATGATCTTGACAAATTGCCTACTCAGATTGTGCCTCAGGCTCATCATTTGTAAAATAAGTATAATACTAGCTTTTACCTGATACAATCAAAGTGAGGATTCAGAAAGGAATCAACCTAAAGTGCTTTGTAACAGCACCTGGCACATAGCAGGTGCTCTGTGTGCTTACTATTATTACTTTTTTGTTCATTCGATCGCTTCCCACTTCATGTAAGCAGTTTCCTGGTTTTTAAAATAAGTAGTAAGTGAACTCACAGAAGCAGAATCTAATCTCATTTTCAAGCCCATCCTCAGATGGGCCCAGCTTCGCAAAGAACGGTGTGTAAGCTCAGGACACTGGTTGCATAGTTGCCATTTGTTCTATAGCTCTTGCCCCCCACCCCTCATCCATACCACTCCATGACCCATGGAGGAGGAAAAAATTAAGAAAAAAAAACCCATACCTCCCTGTCTTTTAAAACAAAATAGCATGACCATAAAATCTCCTTTGACTGACAGTTGCTCTTAACATGGCGCATTTTCTTTCCCTCTGAGTTGAATGCTAGCTTCTTTGTTAAGTATTGTAAGAGATGCCTTTTGGAATACAGTGACCTGAATTTATAGCAATTGGTGACAAAATCCATGGGGATGCCAGTGTTTCCTCAGAATGGGCCTCCTTGTGTAACAGCTCATGCAACGTCCAGTTCCTCCCCCTCCCCAATTAGTCCCGGCTGCCCTGGGCCACTGAGCTGTTGGCTTTCCTGGCTGGGTGTCAGCACCCAGGCAGTTCATCTCTGGTTTCAAGGGAACCACTGTTCATCCCTGGCTCTCTTGGGCTACAGCTCTGAACTAGAAAAGAATGGCATTTGGTTTTCTCCAGAGCGTGACACATTCCAGGCCTCTCAAATCATTTCACAGAAAGAGGTTCTGAGTTCAGCAGGTCTGCAGGCGAACACAGCAACCATTCTGCCCTGACTGTGTGGCCACTTGCATCAAGAGAGGCCCTGCAGGCCACATTGGGCTCTCCGAGCTTTTTGTCTGGGACAGGGGAAAGCAGCTCGACCCAGCTTGCTGGGCCCTATCAGTTCTAGCACTGAGAGTCTAAATCCAGGGAAGACCCTCCACTCTGGACAAACCAGGGTGGTTGGCCACCTTCCGACTGGGGACCAAGCGAGCAGTTCCCGGAGTCTGAGAAACCATCACACCAGCCCAGCACCAAGAGACAACTTTAGGGCCAGCCTTCAGCTTGCGTAACAAGCAGAGTTCATGAGCTGATCAAAGATTAATGAATTTGATTCTTATTTTGAGTACCTATGTTTTAAATGGTTCCCATCAATTGCCTGTTTTATCAAAAGTGATTCAATGAAATCCATGCATCCAAGGACACTGAGCATCTGGGTTGACCTTTGCTTCTTCCTCCAGCCTGGCAAATACAGTGGCGTGATTGTGATTGTAGAATTAGATTCCCTGCTTTTTGTTCTGTCTGCTCCCAGCCCCTGCTTGGATCTCATTGTCCAGAGAGATGTCTTCCTCCCTAGCTGTCCTTCTTTGATCGGCCCAGCCAGGCCTAGGGGATGAGTTCCTATTATGATGACATTAAAGTTAAAACTATACATACACTCTCAAGTCTTTGCCAGAGAACACATGCACATCTTATAGATAGACCACACACTGCTTCGCTAGACTAGCAATCAAGAAAACTATTGTCATATTTCTAATTGCTACAGGTGGCAAAGAAATTGTCCTTGAAGATGAATGAGGTTGACTTCTACGAGCCATTTATGGAAGAGCCTGTCGCCATCCCTGACAAACCTTACACAGAAGAAGAGCTCGTGGAGTTTGTAAAGGAGCACCAAAGGTACTCCAGAGGCATGCAGGGGGCAGGGGGATGGTCTGGGAGATGGAGAAGGGCCTCTGAGTCCTGACATTTCAGGTCCCCAAGAGCAACACCCTAGTGTTAGCACTCAGAAGAGCTGAACTCAGTGGAGTGGCTTTGTTGGTCATCGATCGGTGGCAGGGATGTTGCTACATTATCTAAATATGGTTTTATATTTGCAGACAGGGTTAGAGCACCTTCCCTCAAGTCAGAAAATCCCCTTAACGTCATATTAAGATTTCAGTAAAATTCTACAATAATAGCAATAGTGATTTAGGGACAGCCTCCTATATGCCAAGTACCATGGGAGGTGCTTATGGGAGCTATTTTATCTAACATAATGAGATAATTATTATTACCCCAGTTTTACAGATTAAGGAATTGGACTAAGAGTAGTTAAGTAACTTAACCCCCAGATGAACATTCTGCATACAGAATTTCTGGGAGAGGAGTATTTGACACCACTTAGCTCTAGCATGGATCAGCCATCTTTTTCTATGAAGGGCCAGATAATAAATATTTCAGGCTCTGTGGGCCAGATGGCCTCTGTTGCAGCACTCAGGTCTGCTGTTTTTGTGTGAAAGCAGCCATAAACAATACCTAAACAATGGAGTGTGGCTGTGTCTCAAAAAACAGTTTATTTAGAAACATAGGAGGCACTGGCTGGAGTTGGCCCACCAGCTGCAGTTTGCTGAGCCCTCTCTTGAAGGAGGGGCAAGAGGGAACATGACACATGGAAGGGAGTTCACCATCTCCCCCTCACTCTCTCCAACACACGCTCATGTGTGTTCGTTGGACCTGAAGCACCATGATTTCATCTACCAGTCAATCCCGGCCCCTACAGGGGGCAGTACTTGGAGGAGGAAATGTCAATGTGTCTAGCACCGTTTGCAAACATTCAGAAAGAAATAAAACCATAGGCAAGATACAGATCCCACCTGCTCTTCCAAATACCCCTTAAAGGGCTTTTGATGGATGACCCTGATGATTAACAAAATCAGGATTTCCTGTGTTCTCTCCCAGGTCTCCTTATTCTGGGTGTCCTCTGGGCTCTCTGGGAGGAGGGAGATGGCTTCTTGCCCCAGGAATGAGCTGATCCTGCATCCTCTGACCCATTGTTTGTAATGGGCAGTATAATCCTTGGGTCAAACGAGTACATGGAAAGGCTGAGAGTGTTAGGCCCAGCTCTGTGTGACACAGCAGGGTATGGGGTAAGCTGCGGGGGCTCTGTGTGTGTGTCTGCCATGGTAATCTCTATTCCAGGAAGCTCATCTTTTTTCTTTTTTTCAGACCCACCTTACGTCGCCTGCGCCCAGAAGATATGTTTGAAACATGGGTAAGAAAGTGGCAAACTCCTTCTGCCTTGTACAGACTGGTAGATTCCCAAAATTCAAACCAAGTTTTACTTGGCCGAAGTAGATGTCTAGATGGTAGAGAATTTGAAATGTGAACAATGGTATGCTCAATTAAAACCCCAGTTTTTGTGGATCCAATTTATGCCTCTCTAGTACTACCCACTAGGCAAAACTATTCCATCTTTGAGTTCATTTTCCATGGTGACTACTGGCCACTAGAGGCTCAGGGTAACATAGTGGAAGGAGCTCAGGCTATGAAGTCATAGAGACTTGGGGTCAAGTCTAGAATCTGACACCTAGTAGCTTTGTGTCCTACATTGAGCCATGTGGTCTTTCTGAGTTTTAGTTTCTGCATCTAAAATCAGGGCTAAAGGTGAATGGTGTGAAGAGCCCAGAGCATGGTAAATGCTTGATAATTGAGTGGTCACTATTTTTATAAATATCAACTCAAGGCACTATAAAATACTGAGTCAGGTTATCCTCTAGGTCTAGGTCATAGACAATATGTTGGGCAGGTCAAATAGCATTAGAAAAGAGCCATGGAGGTACAACCTCCCACCCACCTTAGCTTTACACTAAATTCTGTAAACAATAATAACCAAAGTCTGCAGAGCAGTTCCCAAAGCGTTTCATGTATCCCTCAGCAATTCTAGAAAGTAATGAAAAACAAGAATTACTTTAGCCCCATTTTACACAGGGAAAGTGATCATATGGATTAATTACTCAAGAACACATAACTAAGAAGCACTAGAACATGGAACTTAGATTTAGATTTTCTGGACCCAAATCTCCTGTTCTCTCCAGTATACCTCCCTAGCGTGGGCCCTGTCCCCACAAGCACCATTTTGGCAGTGGGGGTGTGGGTGGGAAGGAAAAGGGATTAACGTGGAAGCATGTATGTATTCATTTATTCTTTAATTCAGAGTTTAAAGTGGCAGATGAAGAGAACCAAGGAGTAACTTGACACTTTCTGACTGACATGTAATGTATTTGGATGTTTGAACACAGAACAGGCATTGCATAAGACACTGGAAGGTAAATAACCCAGTGTACAGGAGGAGACTTTGTAAACAACACAACACAATAGAAACATTCTCTCAACATTTCGTGCTTTCCAAAATTCAACCTTTCAAATGTTTTGTTATTGGATATAAATGGTATAACAGTGCTTTAAAAATAATATTGCTTTAAGCATATTTTTACTTAAAATAATTTCAGATTTATAAAAAAACAGTGCAAAGATCCATGACCTTTTTTATCCAGATTCCCCAAGTGTTAACATTTTATCATCTTCACTTTATGACGCTCTTTTGCTGAATAGATGATAGATAGATGACAGATTTCTTTTCTAAACTGTTCTAGAATAAGTAGCAGACACAGTTCCCTTTTACCTTGAAGTACTTCAGATGTTTTCTAAAACAGGACTTTTTCTCACATGACCATAGTACATTTATCAAAATCAGGAAATGAATACAATTCTGTTATTTTATCTATGGACCTTATTCAAATTGATGAGTTGTCCCACCAATGTCCTTTATAGCACAAGAAAAAAAATTTTTTTTCCTGGCACAGGATCCAAGCCTGGATTACACACTTGCATTGGGTTGTTAGTTCTTGGTCTTCCTTGGTCTTTCATCATACGAGGCACCATTTTAAATTGAGAGTGATTACTACTGCTCTGGTAGGCCTACATCCTTTGCTCTTTTTTGATTTCCTTCATCCCTAATAGATAGGTCTCAATTACCTAGGGTCCGGGGAGGGAGAGACTATGAAATTGCTGAGCTCTCTTTTTCCGGGTCGTCCCTCACGGACTCAGCTGTGTCACACCCGTCCCCTCCCCCCCGACCACAAACACCTGAACACACACACCACCCGCAGAAACACTCCCCCTCACCTCATCAGAGCTGCGTGTTCCGAGAGGAAGTTCTCTGTCTGCATTCAAACTCACTCTCTGCTTTCTTTTCACTTGACGGGTAAGATAGGTCACAGCCTTTTGCTACAATAGGAGATGTGCTAACAAGGATGGCTCATATTTTCTGCATTATATATTCAATCAATTTCTAATTAGGAAGGGCTGTGTGTTGAACTTAACCTGGTAGAGAAACAAGCACTCAACTGCTTTCCTCCTTCCCAATGTTATGGAATACCCACGTGACTAGGACCCCAGAAGGCCCCACCAGGCCCAGCCAGAGCCTCACCCAAGTCTCCACCTCGGGAGGGAAGGCAAGACGGGTCCTCCAACATTATCTTCGCATCCTGAGAGGGGAAGCAGAAGCCCATCCGGCCCAAGGCTCCCTGGGGAGCCTCTCCCCGCACCCCCTCCCCACCTGCCTAGGTGAGCGCTGCTCTAAACAGCACTCCCACGGGCCACTTGGCCACAGAAACTGAAACCACAGATGTGGGGGACAGTGACCAGTTAATGAACTTAGAAGTCTTTATCTCTTATACCCACTTCCCCAGACATCGCAAACTATTTAAAGATAGGAAAACTAGGCAGGGCTAAAGCAACTCTTGGCTTTTTTTTCTCTCCTCCATTATGTAGGATTTAAAAGCAGCAAACCCTAGAAAACACATAATTTATCAGTACTAAAGAAATTGGTGCCTAGTAATATCTGCTTGTGTCAATCAGGTAGCTATTTATTTATTTAGAATAGTCAAAGAATGTCAAGGTGGGGCAGGGTGGTCCAGACCCAGGGCTGACCTGTCCTTTCCCGTTGGGACTCCACCTTCCACTGGCTCTCCATCCTGGCAAGTGGTCAGCCGGAGTCCTGGGCCAAAGCCACAGCGATGGAAGTCAGCAGTTCCTTATAGAAGAGCCCTCTCTCTTTTGCAATAACAAAATAGTTCCAAGAGGGAGCCAGAAATCCCCAATGAACCCCTAGGACGCGCCATTGCGCCAGGGAGTCGGCTGCTTTTAACTGCATTTGTCTTCTCGGCATCTCTGCGTTCAACATGAGAACAAACATTCGACAGAGGCTGGAAGGAAACCACAAAATCTGAGCAGTGGTACTCTGTCTGGTTGGTGGGTGATTAACTTCTTCTTGCTTGCTCTAATATTTTCTAATTTTCTTCAACCAGTATGACAGATTTTTATCACCATACTCCTTTTCAAATTCAGCAGGCATGAGTAAGAACCTATTATCGTGTGCTAAGCACAGAGATTATAAAAATGAGCATCGCTGGCCTGTCCTTAGGAGCTCAGGGTTGAGTTGATGAAACAGCCTCAAAACATGTGGCACCAGTCCAGTACACTCCCTGCTGTGACAAAGGGACATACCAAGTGCTGGGGAGTCCAGAGCGAGGTATTCACCAAAGTAACTCCCAAGTGCCCAGTCTTTTTTGCTGTTCAGTCACGTTGTATATAAAGACCCCGTCTCAGCCTCTTTCAACTGAAGAGCCACTGGCCTGAGGTGGCAACATCTGCAAACCCTGGAGAGGGGACAGCAGATTCATGGAGCTCATGCTAGGCTGTTGGTGATGTCAAGGAGAAAACACTTGTTCCTCTACCCTCTTAGGTTGAATATTAGAGGACTGCAAATTAAACTAACAAAAGACAGATTAGTATGAGGGGGAAAAACCAGATTTAATGACCTATTTATGCATGGGAGTTCACAAAAACACGACTCAAGGAGGGGCTTAATATACCGTCTAAATAGGAGATGGGGAGAGACAGAGGGACCCTTCTGGGAGAACAAAAGACTTCTTGGAAAGAGAAATGGGCGCTTAGAGGAGAACAGATGAGAGATATGATTATTTGTGACAATGGCCGTTTGAGAAGAGATTAGAGCTGCACCCTGGGAAAGGATTTATTGACAACTGAGTTCTTTTGAGAGGCTCTGCCTTTAGGCAAATGGAGGATTTCAGAAATTCAAATGCCTTCGGCTCAGGGTGATCTCTGTGCCGCAGTGGCTTAGCCTGGTCTCTTTCACTGAGCTGGGGAGCGTGGGCTTTGGGACCAGCCAGGGCTGGCTTGAATCCCAGCTATGTCACAGGCTGGCTCTGTGGCTTTAGGTAAGTCACTTCAATTCTTTAAGCCTTAAACAGGAATAAGACTTTCCCTTAAGATTTAGAAATCATGTTCTTACTAAGTACTGATGCAAAGACAAATGGCAGATAGGAATATCACCATTTTAATCATCATTGTTATTTTAAGGTGTAATCCCTTCCTTCAGAAAGCTTGCCTTCTGGTTAAGAAGGGAAGGTTTATTCAAGTAAAGAGACCATTCCCAAGACAATGTGATCTGAAGACCAAATGCGTGATCGGGGCAGCAAAGGTGTGGGGTTCGGAGGAAGTCCCTGGGGCGGTCAGTCCTGCGGGTGGCCCCTCGCTCTTCCTCACCTGTGCACATGGGATACTCGCCGAGCAACCCTGACCTACAGGCTTGCCCACGGGGCCTTGCGCTGAGAGTTTATTCCTGAAAACCCCCGGCACAGAGCGCACGCCTGCTTCCGCGTGGGTGTTCAGTACAGGCCTGCGTGCGGACTCTCTGCGCCCACAAAGACAGAGGGTCTTCCCCTTGGTTCCGGCTCTCCATCCAGGGACCGTGCGAGGCCTGGGGAGGGACAGCCATGTTATGAGCAGTCTCCTGGCAAATATAGATTCTTCATTCTAAAACCAATTTCCAAATGCATTTTGGAAGGGCAGGCAGAAGTGCAGCTGCTTCATGGCGTTAGCACCACTGCCTTCCCGCAGGTGGCAGGCGCCGGGACACGGGGCGGCCTAATGAGAACGGATCAGGGTGTTCTGCCTGGCGATGATGGCAAATGTAAAACAGCGAAACCTCACACTCCCCTTCTGGGGTCTGTCAGATTTGTGTAATAGACCTGCACGCACACATACAGATCTGTAAAATTCAATTCCCTGGACAACCTGACCCAAGCAGTGACCACTCTCTTGTTTTTAATAATAATATTTTCCATTTACTCTCGCTCAGAATTTTTGAAGGTTTTGTCCATTCCAAACTCAAAGGAAAAGAATTAGCATTTAGATAGGATTGCACCAGCATTAAAATCAATTGGAATGGAAACAGAATCATGGGAAGGTGGAGATGACTGGGGTATTTTTTTTTTTTTCCATGGGATGATTCTGATGTGACATTCAGGGTGTCCAGTGAGCCCCTCTCCCTGTGTCAGTGAAAATCAGTATTCACTCAGATTTGTCCCCTGGACAAATTCTTCCACAGCTTTCTGTCCAAGTCTCGTGAGGATCACATTTCTTTTCTTTCCTTTTTTTTTTTTTTTTTTTAGAGAGAGAGAGGGGAAGGAAGGGGGAGAGGGAGTGAAACATCAGTGTGTGAGAGATACATCAATCGGTTGCCTCTCGCACAACCCCAACTGGGCCAGGGCCCACAATCCAGGCATGCGCCCTGACTGGGAATCGAACTAGTGACCCTTCAGCTCCAAGTCCGGCACTCAAGCCACTGAGCCACACCGGTCAGGGTGGATCACATTTCGTATAAAGGAGGCACCTCCAAGCTCTTGCTTGTTCTTCTGCAGAAAGAATTGATGCAAAGGAGACACGAGTCCTCTGGTCCTTTCTGTCCGGGACACAGGAACGTGGAATGCCACTTGCTTGTCTCATGGATTTTAAATATTCTAGATTCTTTGCCGCATTTCGACCTCTACAGCTGTACCCACTTGGCGCCATCACACCCTCGACCTTCCCTCACCATTTCCAGACTCTTCTGTAGCCTCCCACACATAGGCATGCATTAGAGGCCTACATCACTTGGGCATTCTGTGGTTCCAGAGCCAAAAGGAACACCCCTCAGGAACACCCCAGAAGTGACAGTCAGCAAAGCGCCCCCTACTGACCACACAGGTTCTTCATTAAGCAGTATCTTCACAGGGAAGCACGACACTTGTATGAACAATGCAGACCCACATTCGAATTTGCCTTAAATATGCCTCTTTGGGGACAGCTTCAGGATCTGTCAACAGCATCCAGAAAGCTTCCGTAATCTTGTCTGCCACTGATTTTATTTGCTGGCAGTGACTTCGTGAAACACAGACTAACATTCACTGAGCTACGATCAGAGTGCTTGTTGCCCTGAGTTTTGATGAACCAGACTCACGTTCTTCTCCATTTTGCCTCTTCTTGCTGCCTTCCTGGACCCACCAGACCACAGGAGTGAGGCCCATTCAGTGCTAATGTCTTGTGTGTAGTCGGTGTTTTCCTGTCTCTCAAACACGACGCCTTCCTCCCAGTGGCTTCCTCAATGTGCATGTGGCTCTGTCCCCCTGTGCTACTGTCTCCCGTGTACCTGTCCCCCAGAGGCTCTGTCTCTCTGTGCCTCTGCGTCCCCTCTTCCTCAGACACCCCGCCCTCTCACTTTCATTCAGCCTCTCTCTCCACCTGGGAGTGTAACTGTTGGTTCTTTCTCCCACAGGAAGACGATTTGAACGGGATCCACATCGTGGCCTTTGCAGAGAAGAGCGACCCAGGTAGGAACCCTTCCCACCTCTGCTCTCTGATACCTTCAGCAAGAACTGGCTTCTCACCTTGGTCAGCCCTCACCTTGTCCCATCCGTCCCTCACTTCCTGCCTACAATGCAACCAAAAGACATTGGGCACCCCCTGGTGGTCGCCTGCTGGGCACGAATCCCCTTCGTCCTGCACACAGTCTCCCTCGGCTCGGCTGCCCAAACTGGGGCTGCGCAGGGAGAGAGGACACACAGCCAAGCTTCACAGACCGTGTGTGTGTGTGTGTGTGTGTGTGTGTGTGTGAACTGTTCACATTAAAGGTTTATGTACCAGGTGTGTATATATAACAATCCTACCTTAAATAATGCATGCACCCTGTGGTCTCTCAAATACTGTCCATGCCTCAGAAACTTAATAGAAAATATTTCCCCAAATAACAAGAACTGGGCCAAATAAGCAGCTGATTTCTAAAGTGTAAAATGCCCGTACAAATGGGTGAGTAACTTTGTTTTATTGTGGAGCTTGGACAACTTTTTATCCTGGTTTCACTCTTTGTAACATCAGGGGAGAGTAAAGCGCAGGAAAAATTAATTTTGCACGTGGCAAAATGCTGAGTCCCCTGGGCAGTGCCCTGTGAGATCAAGGGTCCCCGAAGGGAAAGGGAAAGTGGAGATTCTGGGGTGTGTTTTAGGAGCCCTGGAACAATCCAGAATGCAGCTGGAGAAGGCAGGGGACTTCACTTCTGATGGCTAAGCAGCTCGTCGTTGGGCTCTGAGGCACCTGGGCAGGGGTCCCAGAACCTGATAGGTACCCACACTGCCCCGGGCTGACTGAAACGGAGCCTTCAGAAACCTGTAATTTCATGGAGCTCTGAGGCAAGTTCTGAGGCGCCATCAGGGTTGGGAACCATTCCTCCAGGGACTGAGGAATGTTATGGTGTTTGCCTGAGACCTAGGCCTCTCGTACATTCCTAGGGACAGAAGAGGAAACTGAGGCTCGGAGAAGAGAAACTGCCCAAGAGGGCCCAGGGAGTTAGCGGCATTTCCTGAAGGAGGAACAGATTGTCTTGCACATGCTGTGACATACATTAGGTGCTCAATAAATACCCATCAGGCAGATGATTAGATAGACCGATGGCCGACCAAGACCAAGCCCCGACTCTTCGCTGTCCGACCACTTCTCTTTTTTGCTTTCTATACATTATCAGCTGCCATAGTTTCCTACAGGCTAAAATGCCAACTGTTCCTGTCGTACAATTTTTAAAAATTGAGATACAATCCACATACGATAATATTCACCTTTTTAAAGTGTGCAGTTCAGTGGGTTTTCGTACATACACGGAGTTGTACAAAGATCACCACTATCAAATTCCAGGACGTTTCATCCCTCAGAAGGAAATTCTAGGGGCGTTGGCAGATTCTCCCTTCCCCTCCCCCAACCCCTGGCAACCACTAATCTAATTTCCACCTCTATGGGTTAGACTGTTCCGGACATTTAAATGGAATCATGTAATATGTGGCCTTTTGGGGCCTGGCATCTTTCACTTAGCATAACGTTTTCAAGCTTCATCTTTCACGTGACATGTATCCACACTTCGTTCCCTTTTAGGGCTAAATCATATTCCATTGTACGACGCCACAACCAAATCTATGCTCCCAACTACCTGACAGCTTCCTCCTCCCAGCCCCTTATTTTTATTAGAATTTGTGAATGTCCATTGATGTTCCAGTTTCCCCATCATTGACTTGAAAAGTTGGAAAACCCCTTCAAAGGTATCTAGCCCTTGTCCAAAAAAAAAAATAAATAAATAAATAATAATAATAATAATAATCAAACAAAACAGAAAAACCCCAGCATGGTTCCAGCTTCCTTCCATAGATTCTGGCCACCCCCCCGCCCCCGGAGGAGAAAACAGCAAAGGAGGCTGCGTGCCCCAGTTGACAAGCTACAATCAAACGCAATCGGATCCCTGGTGTTGTGTGAACAGAGATGCCACCGCCCGCTGGCCAGACTCCAGGGGGCTTTCCTCCCGCCCCACCAGCCCCCTTCCAGGCTGTGGGGAGGCCTGTCTGGCTCTTGGGAACAATGGAACAAAGAGGCCTCGGAGAAGTTGCAGGAACCTGTTTGACCGAGATTGCCGCTAATGAATCAAGCTCCTGAAACTATTTCCACCTCCTCCCTGCACAAATATCCCTGGGCCTGAAGCCGAGCCTTTTCCCAAGCTAGGGCTTGTTACTGGGAAGCTGGAAGAAAGGAGCTGGGGTGGGTGGGTGGGGTGGCTCAAAGCATCTTTTTTCATCGAGGGAGGGCCTGGCCTGCTCAGGGCTGAGAAAGGGAAAGGCTTTCCTGTGAAAGTCCCTGACTCTGTGCCTACTCTGTCATTACCCATAGGTCACTGATGTGTGACCGGGGGTGGGGAAGCCTGGCTGCACACAGGGAATTTTCATCCTGCCCAGACAGCAGGTCCTCTTCTACCTTTGCTCTTGCTATGAAGGGACACGTGGCCTATTGCTCCAACCAAACCCCTGACCGCTCTCCAAAGAAAGGTTATACGTTCAGGAAAAGTAACAACACAGCTCTCCTCAAAGAGCTGCTAGTCTTGAGGAAGTGTGCTGTGAGCTTTACGGAGGTGACCTCAATGTCCACTCAGTGGCCACTCGGTGACATATGCGTCATTGTGAAGAAGACGATGGTGACGATCACTTACTGTGGGCTTACGAGACACGACAGCCTCATGTGGGAGGTGCCAGTTTTATCCCCATTTTACACCAGAGGAAGCTGAGGCCGGAGTGGTTGACTGGTGGGGAGACAGTGGAACTGGGATTAAGCTGAGGGCTGTCTGGCTTCCCAGGCACGCCCTTACCCACAAGGCCCTGCTGCAGACTTGTCCACCCCTTGGAGTTACTACCCCTGACGTCATCCAAGTGACAGCCTACCCGCCTTCCTCTCTGCCTTCCCTCACCATCCCCCAACCTCCAACATCAGAGAGGCCCAGAGACGTTCAGGGGTGCACTCGAGATCACATGGTTAGAGGTTGCAGAGATACACAGCTTAGGTTTCTTGGCAGTCCCTCTGGATACCGGCCACCAGGCCACGCTGCCTGCCCCCAGCTGCTGCCGGAGCCTGCTGTGGGCTCTGAGCCTGTGCAATGCTGCTGCAACCCCCTGGGGCAGGGGGAGAGCCAGCTGAAAAAAGAGGGGGGTGAGAAGAGAGCCTAATTATGAAGAAAAGTCAAGCTTTCTCCCCTGCTGTCCACTGATGTTCCCAGACTGGGAATCTGTGCTTATACAGCAGCAATAACAAACGTCCTCTGTGTGACCTGGGTCCTCCGAGGACTCTTCCTTCCCCTGGCGTCCCGCCTTCCCAGCAGAGGATTTGTGTTCTGGGGCTGGAGACAGTGCCGGCCCAGCAGGCTCTGGAGCGGAGGGCCCTTCTGCAGGGGGCTCTCATCCACTGCCGCCGCCGCCGCCTGCTGAGGCCGGGCCTGGCTGGGAGGCGCTCCGGCTCTCCGCTCCTGCCCGCGGCTCCGTCTGCCGCCCGGCTTCCTCCACCGGAGACTCCTCTCAGCGGCTGTGCCCAGAATGCCGCCTGAGCTGCTATTTGATGGGTTTGAAAATGGACGTCTCTCCTCTCCCACCCCAAGAGGAGTCTGCATCGGGCTGACATCTTCATAACACTTGAAAGGTTCGCAAAGTGGCATTTCTACATGAGCGCGCGCTGGATGGATATCCTCCCAGGGCTCCGGGAACGTTAGCACTAACAAGCTGGAAGGCAGGACAGGCTGCTGTCTGGGCCGGTGGGACAACTGGTGACAGGCCCTGACGGTCATCTCCGAGCCCTGTTCCAACTGAGCACCAGCCGCCTTGGGTTCTTGTCAAGTGGTTTGGAGTCCAATCATCGCAAATAGGAAGGCTGACGGCTTGTTTGAGCTTCCAGATTTAAATGTGGTTTATCAAAGTTAACATTTGGTTTACGCTCAGTGCTAAACGGCGTTCTGAGTGCTCAGCAAATATTGGCCCGTTTGGTCTTCCCAGGGACCCTTTGTGGTAGGAACTGTCATGACCATCTTCCCTGGGCACAGACAAGAGTTAGGTAACATCCCCAGGTCACATGGCTAACAAGGGGCGGGCCTGGGACTCCGACCCAGGCAGCCCAGCCCCAAGCCCAGGCTCTGTAACCGACGTGCTATGTTCCTCTCCATCGCCAAGATCTTACTGCTTCACTGTTTCACGGATTCTGGGGCCCGCGGACCAGGAACGACAGCAGAGAGGAGGGTGATGGTAGGAGCTGAGGGCGTCCAGACGTCTCAAGTGCCCTCTCTGGACCATGGAGCCCACGCAACGCCCCACCCCCGATTTCTACCAGGTGCCTGGATAACTCTGCTGTGTCAAGGGGCCTCCCACTGTGTCTGCACTTCCACGGCTCCCCAAAGGGTCCAGGTTCAAGGGTCACGATGCTGCTTTTTGAAAATCCCACACTCGCTGAGTGGGTGCTGGCCTGAGGACAGTCACCTGCTCTGATCCACCTTTGTGTCCCAGCACCTGGCCCTGGGCTGGATATTTTGAATGCACTCAGAATATACCTTCCTGAGACGAAAATGAGTTCTTCCCATCGATGAAGGGTAGAAGTAGTGGAGGGGGGAACCCCTAAAAATGAATATAAGTTGATGGAGCAGAGAGGGAAAAAAGACAAATCCTCTACAGTCTAACCTGCAAGTGTCCCAGGTGAGAACAATAGCATCATTGTTCTCAAGGGGCCCCCAGGTAAAGAGGCAGCTGTTTTCTCCACTTCAGAGAGGAAGGAGAAGTCCCAGACAGATCCCTGGGCAAGTCCATCGAACACCAGGCACAATCTCCAAGCCCTGTGATGCCCGCCCCCACCTACTTACTTGTGCCACCTGCCTCATGAGCAACGGCAGGCCCCGCCCTAACAGCCTGGCTCCCCAAGTCCAGGCATCTCCCCAGGAACGAGACCCTGAGTCCCATAATTATATGATGTGGCATCAGGGAGGGTCCTTTGTAATGAGCACAGCCAGCTGCTCAAGGATGGGGTCACAGGGACAAGTGCAGGGTGGGCAGTGCACTGTGGGCGTTGCTCCTGGGCCATTACTTGGTCTCAGACACACGTGTCTCTGCCGAGTGGAGCCCTGGCTGCTGGCATGGCTGCCCCGGCCGGGAACTGGCCCCCGGGGCGCGGTGCCGTCTCATTCCCACCAGCCCCTCGCTGCCTGGGAAGGAGGAGAGCGTAATCCCCAGGTTCCCCTCCCACAGACATGTGACTCCCAGAGGCCTCACACTGGCCGTGGGAGCCTGGCTCAACAGGAGCCCTCTGCCCCGGTTGTGGGACCTCAGGGCACAGGCCGTGTGGCAGGAAGGAGTCGCAGCCCCCTCTTCTTTATTTAGGTCCAATTCTGAGACTCCAGGTTCACTCAGGGACATCGCTGAGTGGACCAGCCAAACGGCTGTGGCTATGGGACCGTGGGACTCCGCGCAGATCGGGAGCGGGGAAGGGGCGGCCTGACTGCTCCCCGGAAGACAGAGCCCCTACCAGCCCCACGGTGCGCCGCGGCTGTCCCCTCGGGCCCAGCCCTTGGTGCTCCCCCCTGCCCCCGGCCTGATGCTTCCCCCGCTTCCTCAGGTGGGCTTTCAGCTGGAATTTGGGTCTGCGCTGTTGAATTTCCTCCTCTTTGTGAAATTCGGATTTATCAAGGTCACTTTTAAATTTGATTCTTATCCTCCAGACTACTGGCAACGTCACCTCTATCATCGCCCCTTTCTTTTCAGCGGATGAAAGTAGTCACTGAAAGTGTTTTGGAGAAATTCCCCCCTTATGGCCTGAGTATTCTGATCCATACACCCACAGGTGACCCAGGTGGCACCATATTCCCTGGCCTGTGACACTGCAACATGCCCAGAACAGGGGGACCCATAGTGTCCAGGGGACGGCAGCCTCCGGATGAGTGGCACTCTCTTGACCTCCTCAGCCACACCTGCAGGCCGCAGGGGGAAGAGCCCCCAGCCCCACCTCCACCTCAGTCCCCAGGTGGTAGACAGTGAACTCCAAAGCACAGGGCCCTATGGATGTCACGCCCCTGTCATAGATGGAAAGGCCACCAGGCCTCCCGCATCACTGCAGGCAGGGGCTGCAAGCTAGAGCGATCCTCTTCTCCGCTAGCAGGAGCCCTGCTTCCAGTAACAAGGCCTGAGGGGGCCCACTCTGACTCTTATGCATTAACAACACTGAAGTGATTACACCCACTCGATGCAGGACTGTTACGAACAGTATGCATTTTGCCTGGAATGTATTAGAAAATGAGGAAGGGCTGAGAAAAATCTTTACCAGGAGGCGGGGACTAGCCAAACGAAGGCCAGAGTACCTGGAGAGAGGAGAGGCTTGTTAAACAGGGGCTGCAGAGAGGGGCTGGGGCAGGCTGGGCCTGGGCCACCAAAGAAAACCTTTACGAAGAAAAGGCAGTGGCCACACTGAATCCCTAAGCAGCTGACGAGCGGCTTGTATAGAAGGTGTACATTTCAGGCCACAGATTCAGCTATGCATGAACCATAACTTCATAGTCTAGAGCTGAACCTAAATGCCACCGCTGAATGACAAAAACTGGGCCTGACAATGAAGGGTCTCCCCACCCTCCCCACCCTCCCTAGGAGTCCAGGTTCTCGCGGGTCCCCAGGCACAGGCGGGGAAAGGGTGCATCTGCCCGGTCACTGTCGTCATCACCGACTCACAGCGGCATCTGCAGAGAAGTCTGTCATGCGATCAGGCCTCTAGCTTTGTTCCCAAGCCGCCAGTGGCTCCCTCCGTCCTGTCCCTGGATCTGTCTTGCCTCTCAGAACCACAGGGAAGGCGGTGGGGCCTCCTGACTTCTCTGCCCTGATCCCTCTGCATGGAGCTTCTCCAGGAGCTTCTGGGTCTTTCCATTTTCCTTAGTTTCATTCTAGAACAAAGCAAGGGTGTCCTATATTCTAGGATCCCCTGACAGGAAGGCTTTGCTCTCTGTGGACACCTAGGCACACAGGGGCCTGCGTGCGTGCACACGGACGTGCACACACGTACACACTGGCACAGAGCTTGTTCTCAGGGACTTTCCTGAATCTAAACTGTTTCTAGTTGAGAGTGGAGGAGGGAGTTTTGCTGAGGGTTTAGTGTCTGCTTTCTCTTGCTAAACATTCTTCCAAAATGTTTGTTTATGGCATAAATTTTATGTTGTTCCCAGTCCTTCAAGATTTAAGCTTTTAGAGCCAAAAAAAAAAAAAAAGGGCAGTGTTCTTGAAACTCACAAGGCTTGTCTCTACTTTTCTTATGACTCACCCCTCCCCTGGGGGCAGCAAAGCTGCCGAAGGAATAGGGTGAGGGCAGAACACACATGGAAGTAGGGGCGGGGGAGGGACACCCATTTACTATCTCAGGACTGTGAAACCAACTGTAAATCAGACGCTCACTTAGTTCGAAGGTTTTAGGAATTCCAGGTTGCAGAAAACTAAGGGGCCAGGTCAATATTCCTGGTCCCTAGAGCAAATGCTATGGGGGACGCTGAGGGACAGCGAAGTGTTGGTGTCGAGAGATGGCACCGAGCACTGAGGATCGGGCAGGGGTTCCTCTGCTCTGTTCCTGGACTTTGTGACTGGTGGCTGGTCACCTTTCACATGCAGATTAGCGATGGGAGCTGGGCCCTGACTTAGGAATCAGCCACTTCCCTGTGAACTTTTCATTTCTGCACTCAAAAACCGGACTGTTTTCCTTGAGTAAGCTGCCTTGTGGCTGGGCTTCTCATCTGACTCATGCTATAGAGTGATCCTGTAATTGAGGGCACGCAGCAAATGGCTTAGGCAACCCTCGTGGAGAGGCCGCGGCTGCTGCTCTCCACGCTGGAAGCTGCAGAAGCGTGGGGTCACTCATCCTTCTTGAACCCTGCTCCAGATGGCTACGAGTTCCTGGAGATCCTGAAGCAGGTGGCCCGGGACAACACCGACAACCCCGACCTGAGCATCGTGTGGATCGACCCGGACGACTTTCCTCTGGTGAGTGGCTCACCCGGGGCCTGTCCTCGGTCACCTTCGCAGTCTCGTGTTTGTGTCTGGTGTGAGATCCTGTCACATGAAGGAGGATGTGCAATAGGAGGGGCGCTTGCAGAAACCCAGCGGCCACCCCCATCCAGACCTTGGCCACAGGGGCAACCTTGAACTTGGGGCCTGGGGCTGACCCTGACGCAGTGAGGCTTACAGTCCCTGGAGACCAGAAGTCCCTCTCCATGGCCCACTTGAGTGAGCTGCCAGCAGCCCCGGAGCTGCCCTTCATCCATCACCACCCGTCTGCTCTAACCTTTCCTTCCCTGAGTGGGGACCGTCATTCCGAGGCAACCCGAGTTACCAAGTAATGGAAGCCAGGCGTGAACGTGTTGCATAGAGTTAAGAACTTCATGGAGAGAAGCAGCAATCTCTTGGAGGGCAGACCCTGTCTGTCTGCATCGTGTTCTCCCAGGTCCTAGCGTGATGTCCAGCACAGGACTGGGATGTGTAAGAGCCTCAGAGTCCAAACTCTTGCTAGCATCAGCCATCAAGGATCAGAGAGCCTTGGTTAGGCTGAGTTTAAAGAGAATCAGCAGAATTTGTCCAATACACAAGCCCAGTGGTAATGACCATGAGTGGAGCTGATATACCGTACTGGGTACCTGGAACTATGGTAAGTTCTTTACATGCATCATCTCTTCTGATCCTGTCAACAGCCCTGTGAAGTAGGGACTGTTGCAACCCCTGTGTTACAGATGAAAGGAATGACAGCTGGAGAGGTTAGAGCAGTAAGTGGTAGATGTAATATTCCAACCCAGGTCTACGTGGTGACAAAGCTTGTCTACCAGTCAACAGACTTGAGCTTGAGTGAACTGCTGGCAATCAGGACAAGTTTAATTATCGTCGGGTTATAAATGGTAACTCCAGCTTCTTCCAGGAATTATCATGCGGGGCATAGGTCACGACCATTCATACTATGATTAAACAGACAAAAGTGAGGGGTTTTAGTGATTGTAATTGTCCTGAAACCCAGCCCTACATACAGGATGAGTGAGCCAAACGCCGAGACTTCCATTAACACCTGAGATCAATGTCGTAAATTCAGGTTTTCATAACAAAGTCACGGCCCTATAAGCCACTATATACTGTAAATTTGTGTGACCGCTGCCTGATTGTGCTTCTAATTTATCTGGACTAGTAAGCTTGCAGCTGGTCTGCAGTTCCCCTGCCCTGTTCTATACATTTGCTTTGCTTTCTGCAAAGGAGAACTCTTCAGACTCTTCTGATCTCTAGGTTCCTGCCTATCCCCAGGCTCCATCAGGCCATACATTTGCTTAGGAAACTTTCTACCACTGAACACCCCCATTTTTTAGCCCCATGGCCCTTACTCCTTTAGTCCTGCCCCGGTCAGAGACTGGCCCACACAGAACCCAAGCCTGGCTGAATGAAGAAGCCCTGTTCTTATTTACGTGCTAACTTAGGGCACATCGCTGTTTGCCCAGCCATCTCATGAGGCAGAAGGGCGCAACGTAAGGGATTTTTAAGTGGGACATTACGAGGGGTGGAGGGAAATGTCTCTTCCACCACACATAAACTACAAAAGAGCCCCCAGTAATTTGGGGAGCGACTTCTGACCACCTCTGTAATATCCGCCCTTACAGCTGTAGGAGATTTTATGTTACATGTTTTCATAGTTTGTGCTATGACATCCTTTTTTCCCATGCTTGCTTAAAGGGCTTGAGGGCTGGGGCAAGTCTGCAATTTCCTACGTGCCCACAGCTATTTGGGAGACCGTTAACCAAGGGTGACCTAGTTACTATGATGGGATAGCAGGTGGGTTCACCACAAAAAGTGATTTTAGCAGGGAATGCCCTCTAGCCACGGTCTAATTTTATTTTTTGTTGCCACAGCTCGTTGCCTATTGGGAAAAGACTTTCAAGATTGACCTATTCAAGCCGCAGATTGGGGTGGTGAATGTGACGGATGTGAGTGCACCCCCTGAAAGCTGGCTCGGGCCCCCGCAGCCTGGCCCGTTTTCTGCCGTGCAGCCCGCCTGTGAGGTCACGCGAGGAGGCCAGTCCCTCCCACAGCGAGCCAGTCCCGACCTATGGCTCTGTGGGCCCTTCCACCAGCACAGGTCCTCGCTTACAGGGCCAGTCTGACCTGGTTCACTGTCTCTTTGGGAGCTTCCACCCAAGTAAACTCTCCTGTATTTTCTTCCAATGCCCTGACACAAGATCTCTTTGCACGAGGGAACCCATGGTTGAAGCTGCCACTGCACAATCGGTGATCACCCATCTCCCGGCAGCCAGGACCTCAGACAGGAGACGGGGTCCCAGAAGGGCAGAAAGAGAGCCACGTGGATGACGGGGCTCCTCCTCGCCATCCCGGCACCATGGGACCAAGGGCGGGAGAGGCTGGTGAGGCAGACTGGCCGAGCAGGAGGAACTGTAGACCTCAGTCCAGACGTCGGCTGCAGCTCCACTGTAACAACACAGAAGGGGGCCGGCACAACCCGGCAAAGAGGGGACAGGAAGGGATGGTCCCCCAGGACCCACCGGAGCCCTAACTAGCTGTGCGGGAACCTCTTGCGAATGGGCCGGTTCGCCACATCCCGTCACCCTCTCAGCGGGTGTTCGATTCCCCGGGGAATTCTTCATTTACATATTTTGGAAACTACTGTTCCATTAATAATAATATTAATAATAATAATTTTAAAAATTTGCTCAAGTGGAAACATTTCACAACAGGACAGTAGGATGTAAGGTGCAAAGCAAAAGCACCTTGCACAACCCTGACCTCATCCCTGTGGGAACTATTGGTGGTAGTTTGATGACTATCCTACCAGCAATTTAATGTACATAAAATAGAACATATAAGTAAGAAGTACAAATTGGAAGTTACAAAAATAGTCCCAGGGACACAGAGCACAGCATAGGGATTATGACCCATAATATTGCAGTTCCTACAGGTGGTACCAGGTGGGCACCGGAAATATCAGGGGACCAGTTTGTCAAGTACGTGATTGCTTAACCATGCTGTTCACCTCAAATGATACAAAATACTATTTAAACAGAAAAAAAAAAGACTAAGAACCAAATGTTACCAGTGGTATCAACTAATGAATAGCATTGTATTTCATTAATAAAGTAATTAAGATTGTTAAAAAATGGAATAGACGTATTGTTATATAGGTACGTTGTATACAGTCAGAGAGAAAACACCAATGCAGATACAATTACAACACCTAAAAATACATACTTCCTATGCCCCTGGGGACTGCGTCATCCCTGGGCTACCTCCCATCCCCCCGCTCTGCCCCACCGTGTCAGCCTCAGGTAAGGAGGGTGGGCAGTGCCGGTGACCTGGAGGGACTCTCCCGGGTGGGGCGGCAAGGTTCAAACGAGGGGAGGGTGGCGGGGGAGGTGGCACTGCTGAGGAGGGCGGGGCTGGGGTAGCTGCCCGTCTCAGTGCTGGGCCTGGCCCACCGCCCTGCCCACTCTCCACAGTCCCGCCTCCCTGTCGACTGACTCCCCGTCCCCGAAAGCCTTTGCACAGATTACACACACGCACACACGCATGTCCTTTAACACTGCACAGATAGGAGGCGGCACACACCATTCTGCAACCTGGCACTCCCATTGCACAAGGTGGCACAAGGTGTCCACGTTCTGATACGTGTAAGTCACCCGGGGCCCACCCAGCAGAGCCCCCCGAAACCCCCTGGTCTGACTCGTCCGTCCTGCTTCCACGCACTCACCCGCTCTGTCCCTCCCCGCAGGCTGACAGTGTCTGGATGGACATTCCAGATGACGATGACCTGCCCACTGCCGAGGAGCTGGAAGACTGGATCGAGGATGTGCTTTCTGGGAAGATAAACACTGAGGATGACGACATTGAGGATGACGACGATGACGATGACGACGATGACGACGACGACGACGACGACGACAATTCTGATGAGGAGGATAATGACGACAGCGACGATGATGATGAGTAGTCCCGAGTCCCCCTGGCTTTGATGACAACAGAACCGCAGCTGCCCACTTCCACGCTGACAGCGCACGCGGCAGCAGGCCACGCCGGCCCACGCCAGCCCGCCTGCTCTCCTTGCCCGACGCCTCTCTGCCCACTCCCTCCTCATCAGGAGCTGTATGATCCAGCAAATGCCTTTCGAAGTCGTCATCCCACTCAGCAGGGACACGTGGGGAATTATCCCCTGGCTGACGGTCTTGACTGTCACGGAAAATCTCTTGTTCGTTGTCCGACCCTCAGCGGTCACGGCAGTGCCGGAATCTGGCAGTCGGGGGAGAACTATCGCCCAACACCCCTCCTCAAGTTTGCGTGTCGCCTTTGACTCCGACAGCCACAGAACGGACAGCCTGCGAACTCCCAAGCAGGGAGTGACCTTGCTATCATCAGAGCCCAGGGAAGACACCCAGTGAATCCCCATAGCCCTGCCTAGGACATCAGTTACGATCCCTCTTACGGAAGGCTCAGGCTTGGAGACAAGTTTATCCGTCAGCTTCTCTTGGCTCTCTGAAACTGATTATCTGAAGCGCAGTCCAGACCGTTATGAATGCAGATCCAAGCCTTTGGATGGCGACTGAGAGGACTTGATGCCAATAGATGTCATCGTCATTTCTAGATGTTAGGACACTGGGATAGAAGGTCGATTTGCTCTCTGAACTTCGCTTTAGGTGACGAGTCTCACGTATGCACCTGGGAGCGGGGAGAACTGAAAGAATGAAAGGGTTTTATTTTTTCTGACGGGATCACATCCCTGACTGGGTCAGCTGGCTTCGGAGCCTGAGCTCAGCCTCGGAAGGCCCTCCTCTGCCTTCCCGTTTGGAGTGAATCCAGAGGCTGGTCTATGCGGGTGTCAATTAACTCTCTGCTCATCAGCACTCCCAGAGTTGAGCAGGACAACCATAAACAGAGTTCTCAGTGGTGCCTCAGGCACTGAAGAAAACCACCCCAAGTGCCTTCCGAACTCTCTGAAAATTACATTGTGCTCAGTAGTGTTAGCATTAAGTGTGAATTATAATGTTTTAATTTATTTTCTCAACCTTTTAACATATGTAAGACACCACAAATTCTTTGAAAATAGGGCAGTCCTTTTATGGAATACTAGCTAACTAATGCATTAAAGTCATATTTTGAAAACAGTAAGACCATCTTGGAAATCCTCTCTTGATTTTTCTGACCCTGCTCCTGCTCGCTGGGTTTCTTCGGTTTTCCTTTCTGCCCTCCCTTCCTCTGCCCGCCCTTTAAATGTGAATGTTTCACAGCATCACTCGAGTCTAACATTTTTCTAGGGTAGTATCATCCATGTCCCGTCAGCTGCCGCCTATGTGCTAATGACCTTCACATCTGGATCTCTAACCTTGACTTAGACCCATTCACTCAACTGCTTCTGCACAGCTTGGTTTGGATGTTGCATAAGCACTTCAGACAATGTAACAAAATCCGAACCCATTACCTTCTCCCCTAAATTTCCCCTCCTCTTCTCAGGGGAGTCCCAGTTTGGATGGGTGATATTGCCATCTATCCAACTGCCTACGTGACCTGAAGGGGCTGCCTTCCCTTCAGCTGCCATGGCATTTTGTGCATACCCTGCTTCACAGCTCTTATTTAAATTGCAACACATCTTTCCATATCTGCCCTTCACTGCACTGTAGGCAAGGAATTCATTTACCTTTGTATCGCCAGCACCAGGTAGACACTCCTTTATTGAATTGATGGCTGAGTAGTTGGTTAACCGGGATACCTATAATTCCCCTGCACTGCTGGATAACAATGCGTAAGGGCCTCCCTGGTTCCACTTCTCTTCCTCGCGATACGAGGCAGGCGCCCCGAGCTGGCCTGCGTTGCCATCCAGCCAGGCACAAGCACACATACCTCGAGTAACCTCTTGGGGAGGTAAGTTTTCAAAGCCATCTTTGAAGCTAATCTTTCAAACAGTCAAGGAATGTGGTTGGTCATAAAAGTGGTCTGTTTCCTAGCCCAGGAAAATCTCCTTGTTCTCAGAGGGAGAACATGAGTAATGCGTATGAAGTTTAAACCGTGCCGCGGCGCTCCTGTGTCAGAAGCTCTGAGGGTTACTCCGGTTCTGTCCGGAAGGAGCTGTTTAAGCAGACATGTACTGAGTGTTTGAGCTGTGCTTGGTGGAGCACTATGCATTTGCTTTATGCAAATGATCTTATTTAATGTTTACAGATTTCTTAGAAGATCGGCCTGGTTATTGTCCCCCTTTTACAGATGAGAAAACCGAGGGAGGCACAGAGGGCTCACGCATTGTGCCTGAGGTCACACAAACACTTCAAAAGAGTGTAAATGTAATCCCATTTTTACACTTAAGTCGAGGATTTAAAGTAAATTAAGTTCCACAAATTAAGGAGTCAAAGGATTCCATTTTTCTCAGATAGTGTCCCAAGGTGAACCCAAGTGAATTTCCCATAATTCTTTTTACTGATTAAGCCAAAAGGCTCCTTCTCATTTCATTTTGGAGGTCACAATCAATTTAAACAGTATTAGAAAATGTCAGATAATTAGAACTTAAGGTCATCCTATTAGGAAAAAATAATTTATTGTGTTATCAAGAATGCACAATTACTTTCAATCAATATGTTGCTTGAAAATATTATCTCATAATGCGAAATGAGCCTGACTTTCCTATAAGGACATTGTGTATTGTCCAGGCCCTCGTTGGTGTTGCTGGGAGTCCCACACTGTTAATAACGTCACCAGGCATCGGTCATTATGATCAACAACCCTGACACACACAACCCCCACCCCTGGCACATACACACCTCCCTCCTAAGAGCTAGTGGCTCTGCCCCTGAACTTGATCGTGCCAGGTTTTTTCAACCGTGATCAGTAAGCATCAGAATCATAAGCTTATTTTAGAAAACACGGATGCCTGTCGCCAGCCCTGAACACCATCTCAAGCTGGGTCCTGGCCATCTACATTTTTAAGAGTCCCCGGGGACTGACCTAAGCCAGGATTGGGAACCAGGGCTCTTCCCATGCCCCTGGGTCATCTCATCCAGTCTGTGGCTTCCAGCGCATCTGTCTCTAGCCAGGCCTCTCCTGGGTCCTAAGCCCCTCACTCCAACTGTATCCCTGGGACGCCTTCATCCTGATGTCCCACAGGCAGGCACCTGAGACCAACACAGCTTTGGGGCTCTGAAGGGGTGCCCTTAAAAAGTAACCCTCTTTTTCTGACTAAGATCTGAACCAACTGAGAGATTACGTCAAAGAGTTGGTAGTCCCAAATATCGCCATTTTTACAAAAAAGCAGTAGTTTGTAAACTAGAGCTTCGGAGAATGCGTTTCGCAGTTTCCCACCTCTAAGGGCAGGCCACCCAAGGGAATCAGACGTGTGGAAAGGACCAGGCCATTGCTTCTCAGTGGTCAAGGATGGGGAGAGAGGAGAAAAAGGCTGGACCCCACCCCCCAAAGATGAACTTTATGCAAAGAATGTCACCCTAAGAAATTGGGACCAATGGTTCTTTCCCATAACCAGGTGACTCTCTCCATCTGAGGACAGGAGTAAGGGCTGGGCAAAGGGCCCGCGGCGTTGAGGGGAAGGTCCTTCTTCATAGAAGCAGAAGAGCTGGGAAGAGGCCTCTCCCTCAGACAGTGTTCGAGCCGGAGACCTTGCTGCCATTTCCCTGTCTCCCATCCCACACTTAAGGGGGAGCAAGCCCCGCCCCGCTGCCTTCCTCTGCACCCGAGGCTTTCACACTCCCTCCCTGGGCCCCTGCTCTCCCGCCCCCAATCCAGCTCTGCCACCAAGCGATCTTTCTGAAATGAATAACTGAGCTTTCCACACACACGCTTAAAGCCCTTCAACGGTTCTCTAGTCCTGAGAGCTGTTAAAAAATAATTTTTTAAAGACCAAGAGGCCAACAGAGCGAACCATGAATGGAAAGGTTTCCAACTGCCAAACGTAGAGCGTGGGGTTGTGGGGTGGGAGGCTCGAGGGGAGACATGGGGTGGGGCTTGTAAAACCAAAAGTCCTTGAGGGGCGTCCCCTCCCTAGGAGAAGAGCAAAGCCGGAGCCCCGCCGGTGCTGGTGGCTGACACCCGGGCCCAGGGATTAGGAGCACGCGGAGTCCGTCTTGGGATGCCGGCAGCCAGCTGTTACTTCAGGAGAAGTCAGGTCAGCCCTGCTGGCAAGGAGCCAGGGGGTCAGTCCAGCTTTGTCATGGAGTCGAAGCCTATTTCCTTTGCAAGGCCTATGTGAGCTGCCTTTGGTCGGCCTCCTCAGCTTCATCTGTCTTGATGCCCCCCCCCAGCACCTGCCCCCTCTGCTCTTAGAGCCTGAAGCTGGCGGGAGCCGCCTGACGGCTTAACACCTCCAAGCCTTGGCTGTTCCATCTGCTGGAATGCCTGTCCCTCCCCAGCTGTGCCCGCAGGCAAATCCCCAGCTGTCTTACCTTAAGTGCAAGGTAAGAGACGCCCCAGGGCTCTTTTTCAGTCAATTTATCCAGTCAAGTGCCCCAGGCAAATTGGCCATCTCCCCCTAGGAGCCTGCCCTCACCGCACCCCATGCGGGGTTCTCTTACAGAACCTACAGTTAATGTATTTTTTTTTTTTATGTATATGTCTTCCTCCTCTTAATAGTCTGAAAGCAACATTAGGGAAAAGACTTTGGCTGATTCTGTTCTATCCTTGGTGCTTAACTTCTGATAGGTATTTAATAAATCTTGTTTGAGTTAATACTCTCTAAGCCCTAGGCAAAGCTAACTGAACAGCTATTACTAACATTAACAGTGTGCTGGGAGTATGCAAAGTCAATCTTATCCCCGGAAGTTTAGGCAACATGCATCATCTGTTCTATAGCCAACTGCTGCAGGAATGGACACATGGAATCTCCTTGCTCGGTGAGAAAGTTTCCAATATGAACATTCTCTTTCCTCAGGTTGGCAAAGGCCTCTAAAAATATAACCATCATGATGGGAAGCAGCGTGGAGAGGAGATGACAGAAGAAGGGCCAAGCCCCACTCTTCGCAAACAGAATGACCGTGGCTACCTAAGGGGCGGTTCCCTTGTTGTAATGCATCTGCAGACCCAAATGTTTTCAAGGTGAGGGGAGGACCCCTTTCAAATTAATCTGGTGTTTTATCAATCTGAATTCTTTAAGCAGTGATAACTAGAATTTTTCTTTTTTCAATCCTTACCTGAGGACATTTTTTTTTCATTGTTTTTTAGAGAGGAAGGGTGAGAAACATCCATGTGAGAGAGAAGCATTGATTGGCTGTCTCCCATACACCCCTGTACCAGGAATCACATCCATTTGGACCAGGGAATGAATGCACAACCTAGATATGTGCCCAGACTGGGAATTGAACCTGCAACCCTTAGGTTATAGGACAATGCTCCAACGAACTTAGCTACACCAGCCAGGGCTAGAGTTCTTAGGGATAACACTAGGACCTTACAAATTCCCAGCAATTCCCCTAAAATAATCATGTGATTATGTTACAGCCATTAGTTGTAGCATTAAGTGCGCTATCATTGTCTAATTCATTCATTCGCTTACTCAAATTTTCAACCAATGGACCCTTAAAGCTTGTTACTATGCACAGAACAGAGAGGGCATAAGTTAGCAGGCACATGGGAGAACTGAACAAGAAGCTGGAACAGGAAAAAGGTCTAAAGCACCTCATGTCATTTCTACAAATCCATCATCATTTTGTCTGAAATAGTATGAATCCTCAGAACCACAGTAATACATTCAGATGTAAATGCAGACAACACACCTGAAAGCCAAATAGAACCTCCATGTCAACACCAGCTTGTATAATTAGAAAATGCAAGCAATCAAGACTCAACTACAACAGGAGGGTACATGCAACCTACACAAGGGACACAACTAGAGCATCCAGCTCAAGTGACTAAGGAGACTGCACCACTGGGCCCCACACGATACCTACTGCTTAAGACCAGAGAGATAGCAGCTCTACCTAGTGCACAGAAACACACACAGGGAGATAGCTAAAATGCAGGGACAAAGAAACATGTTCTAAATGAAAAAAGGAAACAAAATCCAGAAAAAGAACTAAACAAAGTGCAGACAAGCTATCTACTAGATACAGAGTTCAAAACTGCTTTATAAGAATGCTCAATGGGAGTAAATAGAAGACTTCAAGGTAGCAGAGG